ATGACGATGGTTAAGAGATGAGTCTCGATTAGATCATGTTCGCAGTTTCACCCGTTGACTGTCGCACCCTTATATAAACCCTAATTTTTTCTCTCTCTTTTTTTGTTTGTTTGATTTTCAAGAAACTTTGTTTCTCTTTTTTCATCTGATTATGTGAGATATTCAAGGTTATATTTCTGTTCCATCTGAATTTTCATTATATGATTGTGTGTGTATGTGGATCTGAAGGAGTTTTTTTTTTTTTTTTGTTAGGGTTATAGAGTTACATGATTATAGGAAACCCTAATTTGGCCTTTGAAAAATTGAGTATATTTTTTTGGTTATATGTGAAAATCTTCTTATGATGAAGCTAGGAAAGAAGAGCTTTGTTTTGTTACAGATTATAGGATATAAAAAAATTGAGTTGATTATCTATAATTACTTTTTTGGGGATCTCAAGAGAGACTTCCAACTTCTTCGTTTTAGTTTTTACTCATACCTGTTCTAAGAAAAGAGTTTCATGTACATGTAATTTTTGCTTATAATAGTTTAGGGTTTCTGGGAAGAAGTACTTGAAACTGAGGTTGTACACGATTGATACATATTTATGTGTTTTCAAAATTTATATAAAGTTGGACTAAAGATTTTTGGAGTTAGTTGTATATATAGTTGCTCGGAGCTAACTTTACTTCTGGATCCTGATAGATTAAAGCAAATTAAAAATGTTAAGAATTTGAAGAAAAAAAGAATCTGAATTTTTATAACTGTGTAATGATTGGTTGTTCTAAGAAAAATGTTGTGCAAAAGACTTTTAGGCTTTGGAGTCATTCAGCTATTTGGCCTAAAAAAATATGGATGTTATCTATAGTTTGGATGGCCTCATGGATCTTAGAGATGTAATTAGATAACTGGAAACATGGTGAGTGATAGAAGAATCAAATAGTGTTTCAAATTGAACACAAAAAAAAAAAACATTGAACAATTAAAATACACAAGAGATATACAGATATGTCAATTTTCACTGTTTCATTGCTGGAAATGGTCCCCTTTGCATGTTTAAGCTATACACATAAACTAGCTAACAATTGTTTCAAGACTCAAATCACTACATTTTTAATTCTATAAATCAAAGTTAATCATATACGCAATATATATATATATATATATAAGTTTGTTCATGATCAAAACATTTCTCGGCCTCATGCTTGATCAAATTTCCTTAGTAGCCAAGTACAAAATAATCATCAAAAAACATTAAAAGCAAAAAAAAAAAGATCATCTTCTTTTTAACTCACCGATCGTCATCAACTAATAGGTACGTCTATTATATAGATGATATGATTCGGTTAATGGGATTTTGTAACTTTGGCTTTTCTATATGTATGGGAAAACTCCACCGAATGTACAATTTTTTCTTTTTGTCTAAATTTAAAAATGAGATTCTCCAAGTTGCTTTCGTCTCTTTCAGACTTTCCTTTAATGGTTTTAGTTCGTCAGTTACAAAAGAAATTCGTCTGTATGTACATAATTACATTTGTGGATATATTTACACCAAAATGTATCACTCTCTTCCGTATCACATTCAATTTTCTCCAACCGTTACTTTTACTTCTCCAAGAAAAGGTCCAGTATTTCTTTACCTTTTTCTTTTATTACGTACGTTTATATATGTGTGTGTTTTATAAGATGACTTAGACATTTTTTTCTTTACGAAAGCTTTTTAAGTTTTAAAGCAAGACATTGAATTAATTAAGGATCATAGTAAGATTTAGGAAAGTCTAACCCAAAAATATATTAATGGAAATTTTTTAAATTTGAATATCAACCAATTTAGAGATTTCTATTTTTAAAAGATATAAAATTGCCTACATAAAATATTCAAATAAGTGATACCAGCTTAGTTTATAAATCATTAAAATGAAACTTCCTTACCAAACTAATTTCAAACGAAAAAAAACAATGTTTATCGAAACAATTTTCGTAAAGAAACGCATTTTGGTGGGTTTAAACTAGACTGATGAATTTGGTCGAAATATAGCTTTTGGGCATCAAACTCAATAAATGCATATTTCTTACAAAATTCGTAATTACATGTATGTAATAAACTAGTTTTTTTGTGATAGTGCTGTAATTCTTTCACAAATCGGGTATATATATCAGAAATATTATTGACAAAAAATAATAGAAATTGTTAATTACTTTCTTTAGGCATTGTGTGCATTTTTTAACTAAACCTCATGAATGAAGAAACATTCCGACTTCCGAGCATGTATGTCCTTGTCAACTATTATGAGTGGGATTTTTTAGTTCAGCCAACGACAATTGGGCCTCGTTAATCAATCAATACTTGGGCCTCGTTTTTCATCAAATACTTGAGCCTAGTCATCGTTATGTCATTGCTTCTTCTATAAGACCCATAGAGGTATACAGAGAATGTCTTCATATTGAGATCCAAAGGCCGGGATCGAACAAGTTTTGTTCTTCTTGAATCATCGTTAGAAGCAGCCTTGTCTTTATTATGATCTTCATCTATTAGAAAAAGTATCCGTATGATGTCACGTGTCGAAAGTAACTCATTGGTTTCATTTGTAACAATTTGATTTCTTCTTAAAGACTTTGGATTGAATAAGAATGTTCTTTCTTTCCTTTTTCTTCAGGACACTCGGTTTGGTCAAGAGACTTCGATTATACTCTTTAGTCTTTATCATCTCTTCTCTAAGTTATATGGATCATGTTTTGAAAAAACTATATATATAATATATTAGTTGTGAAATTATAATACAAACTTTATAATTCATAAGTATATATGTCTTTGCATAGTTTTTTTTTAATTATCCGGATAATGATTACGAGAGAAAAGCAGGTAGGTCGATCATGAATGTTTTATTTTGGCACATGTTGAATGTGAGGTCCCAGCCACCAATAAAACTGATAAAATCCTACATTATCCAATTCCTTTAGCTACCTTAAAGTATAATTACGAAGATACAAATTAACTTGAATTAGTCAAATCTTTGAGTTATGACACTAAATGATTTTACAAAACTCGAATAATATAATACGAGTATACTTGTAGTTGTAGTAGTAACCTTAGAGTACTACGAATTCAATTTGATGATGAAATGGAAAAATGGTTAAGAAATGATTGGGAGATTATTCATCTAGCTACCAGTCTACCAACTTTCCAGTTTTGACGATATTTACCACGTGGCCCTGAAGAGCATTATCAAACACTTATAAGAAAAGTAGATAATTTCGTGGCAGCTTCAGGCGGGTCAAGAATCAAAATTGGTCTGGTCAGGTCAAAGTTGAGGAGCTTTTATAAATATAGTAATCAATAAGTCGGCTAAATGTAAAATACATTTTCTAAATAAATGCAAAGATAATAGTACTACAGTAGTATCAATTTTGTCCCTCTTTTCAAATTGGAATCGAGTTTCGATAATGTTTTTATTTCTTTGCGAAACTATATAATTATTATAAAAAAAAAACTAAATATTTACATAATTACATTGATTCATTCAAATGTTCTAAACTGTAAAAACATTCATTCACGAAGCAGTAAAAAAAAACTTGAAGTCATGGTAAAACGTTTCATAATAATTAATCGTAAAGATTTCAATACGTCGACATATTTCGTGATCTCCATTAATTTTTTTTCTCTTTTTAAAAATTGACTCAAAATAATATTCTGAAAATGAAAAAGTAAATATAAAGGGGACAAATATTCGAGATGTGACGTGGCAAATCGAGTGGTTTAAATATTCTATTAGCAAGTGGTTTGTGTAATAAGCAAATGGGTGGTCGAACCTGACCGTATTCGTGGATATATTCAACTGTAGCATCAGTCCACCCGTATTACCTCACCTTTCCTAACTTTTAATTCCTTTTTAATTTCCTTAACAACAACACTAGTATTATTTATATTTGGTCTTAAAAAAATAGCCTAATTACTGTTTCAACTCTGAATATTCCTTAATTCTCATCTTAATAATATGTCCGAAAATATGTATTTATGGAATTTCTTGACTTTCCCTTGGGATGGGAATATGAAAGAATCTACCAAATCATATGAATACACATAGAAATTCGAAAAAATGTGGTTTTAATTTTCATGTTTTGTTCGATTATCTTTATCCCCAAAAAAAAAAGTTTTGTTCTATTATATCTAAAATTCAAAACAGATTCGAAATTTAATTTATTAGTAAAAACTGCGTGTTTGAAGCCTTTGAAGTTATTAATTAGTAAGAAAATATAAGAATGTAATTAGTGGAATTTATAGTAAGCATCTTTTTCTTTTGCCACAACATATGGTGAGCAATTTCTTTATTTTGAGAAGGGAAAATCAATTTGTACATACATACATGTCACTTATTCAATTGAATAATACAGAAGGATTTAACGTCTAAAATAAAAACAGGTAAAATAATAATTTGTTTTTTTCTTTGATTGCTCATATTATCGTATAAAAGTTTTGGATTATGACACAACAACAATAATAATACAAATTAATCGGTTATATAATCTTTATTAAAAGTTATACGTTGAATAATTAAAAAAAAAAACAGAATATTATTACTCCCTCCGTTATTTTATAAGTGATGTTTTAGGAGAATGCACATCGATTAAGAAATTATTTAATTTTTGTTTATTTCTAAAATAAACATCATTTATTTCTAATCAACTAATAAAAAAATAATCTACAGAATATAAATCGTCAAAACCAATAAAAAATAATTAATTTTACATTGAAAACTGAAAACATCATCTATTCAAAAACAAAATTAGAAACTTAAAACATCACTTATTAAAAACGGAGGGAGTATATAATTATACAATGACTCTGCACCATACCAATAAGGTAACCTCGTTATTATAAATGTCACTAGTATTTTATTTACACACCGAATAAACTTAATTAATTACTTATGTCCGTCCAGGTACATAATAAGATTCGCAGATACGGTCCTTAATTACTACTATAAACTCTATAAAAACCAATTTTCATTTCCAATTGAATTGGGAACAAACCAAATCTCTCTCTTCTCCATTAGAGCCAAAAGCTTGAAGCAGCCATTAGCCTAAGAAACCTTCAAAAATGGCTTCCATGGCTGCAATCTTAAGCAAAACTCCATTCCTCTCTCAACCACTCACCAAACCATCTCCAACCTCCGATCTCCCCTTCGCCGCCGTATCCTTCCCTTCCAAATCCCTACGCCGCCGCAACGGATCAATCCGAGCAGGATTAATCGCGCCTGACGGAGGGAAGCTTGTGGAGCTCATCGTCGAAGAGCCAAAGCGACGGGAGAAGAAACACGAGGCGGCGGAGCTGCCACGTGTTGAGCTGACGACGATTGACTTGCAATGGATGCATGTATTAAGCGAAGGCTGGGCAAGTCCACTCGGAGGTTTCATGAGAGAATCCGAGTTCCTCCAAACTCTTCATTTTAACTCGCTACGTCTTGACGACGGCTCCGTCGTTAACATGTCGGTGCCTATTGTTCTCGCTATTGACGATGAGCAAAAGGCACGTATCGGCGAGTCTAAACGTGTCGCTCTTTTTGATTCCGATGGTAATCCCGTCGCTATCCTCAGCGAGTAAGTTCTTCTTCTTCTTCTTCTTCTTCTTCTTCCTCAAATTCGAATTCAGATTATAGATTTATGGAGAAGAAGAAAACTGAGATTTGAATTTGATTTTGAACTTATCTGTTTTTGAGATTAGTAGGCCATGTTCGTTTCATAATCGCAAGCGATTGCGACTGCGATTTTGAAATCGCGGGATGTGGTTCGTTTAGCAATCTGAGCGACTGGTCGCTGCGACTTATCACCATTTAAAAAGTAGCATCATAAGTCACAGCGACTGATCGCTCCTGCGACTGTCAAACGAACAACTTTCAGTACAAACGAACATTAGACTAGATCTGATTTTTTGTTTACTCTGTTTATGTATCACTGTAGGATTTGTAAAATCAAAGTATCAAACTTCAGGCTAGAGTATTTTTGTCAGTAGATGCATTTTGAGATTAGTCAATGATAAGGAATCATGATTGAACTTGGCTATATATATGTAATTGGTTACTCAAACTTGTTTTTTTTTTGTTTGATTAGCATTGAGATTTATAAGCATCCAAAGGAAGAAAGGATAGCTAGAACATGGGGTACGACTGCTCCAGGATTGCCTTATGTAGATGAGGCGATAACAAATGCTGGAAACTGGCTTATTGGGGGTGATCTTGAGGTTCTTGAGCCAGTTAAGTACAATGATGGGCTTGATCGTTTCAGGCTTTCGCCTGCTGAGCTACGTAAAGAGTTGGAGAAGCGTAATGCGGATGCTGTGTTTGCTTTCCAGCTGAGGAATCCGGTTCACAATGGTCATGCGCTTCTTATGACTGATACTCGTAGGAGACTTCTTGAGATGGGATACAAAAACCCTATTCTTTTGCTTCATCCGTTAGGAGGGTTCACAAAGGCTGATGATGTTCCTCTAGATTGGAGGATGAAGCAACACGAGAAGGTAAAAAACTTATTGATTGTGTGTCTCTTGAGTGTGAGTGTATCTTGAAATGCTAAATGGGTTTATGAATCTAAAACAGGTGCTAGAAGATGGTGTTCTTGATCCAGAGACTACAGTGGTTTCAATATTCCCTTCTCCTATGCATTACGCTGGTCCAACCGAAGTGCAGTGGCACGCAAAGGCTAGAATCAATGCTGGTGCTAACTTTTACATTGTGGGTCGTGATCCAGCGGGGATGGGTCATCCTGTAGAGAAACGTGATCTTTACGATGCTGATCATGGAAAGAAAGTACTAAGCATGGCACCAGGACTCGAACGACTCAACATCCTTCCATTTAGGGTATATGAAAACCCAATTCAAAAGATTCCCACTTTTTGTTTGGCAAACGTTGTGATCTAATTCCTAGGTTTAACCGCAGGTTGCTGCATATGACAAGACACAAGGCAAGATGGCTTTCTTCGATCCCTCGAGGCCTCAAGATTTCTTGTTCATCTCTGGCACTAAGGTAATATATTAGTCCCCAAAGCCAAATCCTACATTGTTAAAATTCTTCACGGTTTGCTTATAAAACAAATCTCTAATGTTCTTCGATTTTTCAGATGCGCACATTGGCAAAGAACAACGAAAACCCGCCAGACGGTTTCATGTGCCCAGGTGGATGGAAAGTTCTGGTGGATTACTATGAGAGCTTGACTCCAGCAGGTAATGGTAGACTACCAGAAGTGGTTCCGGTTTAAGACAAAAGACAAAACTGTCTCTGCTTCGTTTCAAATTGTAACGTTTGTGTTGTGAAGCCCTTGTAGCAACAATCATTGTTGTATAGGAGAAGCCTATCTATATTTTGGCCGGACCCTTTTCCAAATAAATACAGAAACAAAAATTTCGTTTTGCAAGATAATTTACGAAACTTGTAATATTTGGACCTGAAACTTTTGTACCATATGTATGAAACGATTGTGTTTACGTACCTTTGACTTCATACTTTTCTATTTAGGTGGTGTTATTCATTGATGGATTTTAATAGAATTGAAATCCAACACTAATCCAGTGTTATTCAACTAATGATTATAAATCTAACGTTAAAATCTGGTGTTATTAGATCTTATACTTCATTAGATTTTAAAAGTTTGGTGTTATTCAATGGTGGAGTTAAAGTCAATTCTTTAAGGTTTGTAAAATCCAGTGTTATTCAAAACTAAAAGACTTGTAAAATCTTTGTATATTAAGTCATTTCAAATGAAACCTCTTTGGAGTTTCATGAGTAAATTATTAGAATCAAAATCCAAGATATACTGCAGAGATTTTGAAATCCACACAAACAGATTCTTAAAACCAATATCAGAAAGCAAATCTAAACCTTAAAGAATTGACTTTAACTCCACCATTGAATAACACCCCCTTAATCACTCACTTTTGACTTCATAAAATCTAGTAATGACCCAATTGTAGTAATGGGCCTTTAAAGGCCTCTTGTAGTAATGGGCCTATTAATTTGGAAACTAACCAAACCCGCAGTTTCGTCTCCGGAGTCATTCACGACTGTGGTTTTTCTCTCCGACGCTACAATCGGTGTCTGTTTCCGAAGTTGTTCGTTCCATTAGAGCTTCAGGTTTCGTCTTTTGGTAATTTCAAGTTAGAGCTACTTAATCTTTTGATCTATCAAACCAAATTTTCAGATAAATTCACTCTAGGGTTTGTGAAGAACGATGATATGATCACATTTCAGAATGCAAACGGTGCTAAGCTTATAGTAATTTAATGGTGGCTTGATGCTAAATGAGAAGTCGGAAACTTTTTGATTCTTCTTTATTGTTGAGTTTCATTTTCAATGGTTTACATGTATGCCAAGTGTTTGTTTAAATGTCTGAAAGAAAACTTCAAGCTGATCATTTTGGTAGAATTGGTTAGCTTGTTTCTGTAGAATACATAATCTTTAGTCAAAATCACAGTTTCAGGCTGAAGAAAATGTTCATCAAAGTGAAATTGCCATGGGATGTTACAATTCCAGCTGAAGATATGGACACTGGTCTTATGCTCCAGAGAGCTATTGTCATTCGCCTACTCGAAGCCTTTGGTACCAAGAAAGCAACAAAAGATCTTGGATATTTGATAACACCCACAATTCTTGAGAACATCGGCGAGGGTAAGATCAAGGAACAGACAGGCGAAATTCAATTTCCCGTAGTTTTCAACGGAATCTGCTTCAAGATGTTTAAAGGAGAGGTTGTTCATGGTGTGGTGCACAAGGTGCACAAGAGCGGTGTCTTTTTGAGATCTGGCCCTTATGAAATCATTTACCTATCACACGTGAAAATGCCCGGTTACGAGTTCATTCCAGGAGAATACCCGATTTTCATGAATCAGAACATGTCCCGGATTCAAATCGGCGCCACAGTTCGTTTCATCGTGTTAGATACCGAGTGGAGAGAGGCAGAGAAAGACTTCATGGCTTTGGCCAGCATCGACGGAGACAATCTTGGCCCTATCTAAAGATTGTAATCTGTGTTTTCACTCTATATATATGCTATGTAAAAACGCTTTTCAATGAAATTAATCAATCTTTATTCAAATCTAGTAAACTTATTAAAAGAAAAAACAAATCAATGCTTCATAATATATATACTAATGTAAGATCAATTCAGGAGCCTCTTCATGATCTCTTCTTCCATTTCAGGTAGCTAAAGAAGTGTCTCTCTGGAACCGGAACAGACTTCACTAACCATCCAATCGGCCACGAAGCAGCCGCGATCGCAATGCAAACTCCCCATTGACCCAAATTTAGCCTCTCTGTATCAGCAAATCTCTTGAGAAACTCAACCATCACAACTTGCAAAACCACAGTAACAACTATAATCCCAATGAAGAGCCTGTTCTTGTGTAAGCCCTTGAACACATTCTTCTTCTCCAAACTCCTAGCGTTAAACTCGTTGAACACCTGACAAAGCACAAAGGTATTGAAGATCAAAGTGTTCTTCACTTTCTCAGTCACGTCGAAAATCGACCTTCCTCTAAACTGAAGCACCAAGAGCACAGAGATTTGATAAAACGCTTGAGCTAGTAGATTCCTCCACATGATGTTTGTGATCAATGGCGCGACTCTCCCTATCGGTTTCTTCTTCATCAGATCGTTTGTTGGCTTCTCTGTAGCTAAAGCCAATGCACCGAGTGTGTCCATGATCAGATTCACCCACAGTAACTGAACTGCCGTCAAAGGAACGTCTCCAGCTGAAACCGCGGCCACAAAGTTGATCACAAGAGCAGCCACATTGACAGTGAGCTGAAACTGAATGAACTTCTGAATATTGTTGTACACGCATCTTCCCCATTTCAAAACCGTTGCAACAGAAGCGAAGTTATCGTCAAGAATCACAATATCAGAGCTCTCTTTCGCAACTTCCGTTCCTTGAATCCCCATAGAAAGTCCGATATCAGCTTCTTTCAAAGCCGGTGCATCGTTAGTCCCGTCTCCAGTAACCGCCACAACATGGCCTAACTCCTTGAGGCATTTCACCATTAGAAGCTTATCAAACGGTGAAGATCTCGCCATTACTTTGATTCTTTCGACTTTCTTTAACCGTTCTTCTTGAGTGTAGTTCCGAAACTCTTCTCCTTCTAACACAGCTTCATTATTCATCTCATCTTCAGGTGTCAAGATCCCACACTCTACACCGATTGCTCTCGCCGTGAAAATGTTATCTCCAGTGATCATCTTGATGTTTACACCGGCGAATTGACAATCCTCAACAGCTTTCTTCACTCCAGGTCTACACGGATCTTTGATTCCAATAATCCCAAGTAAGCTCAAGTTCTCTTCTTTCAACTTCTTGATGTCATCATTGTCTTCTGAATACGCAAAGGCGATGCAACGGAGTGATTTAGCTGCCATAGATTGAATAATCTTCTCAAACTGAACCTTATCATCTTCTTTAATCTCTCTCACAACTCCAGAACCATCATAGAACGTCGAACACATAGCTAGAATCTTCTCAGCAGCTCCTTTCCAATGAACAACATTGTTCTCTGTGTTTTCGCCTTTCTTCTTCTTTATCAACACACCACTTCTCTTCTTCTCTGAATTAAAACCTTCCACATGAACAACATTATGTTCTTGAATCACTTCCTCCATATCCATGTTCAATTCCTCAACCGCCCAGCTTAGAATCGCTTTCTCCGTTGGACTACCGGAGAACTCATACTCTGTTCCTGTTTTAGCCTTAAACACACTCCCTGTAGTGTTCATTGCAACTCCTTGATGAAACAATTCAACAACTTTCTGAGACACAGAAGAAGCTTTTCCTGACTCGAGACCGAACCAGAAATCAGTTACCTTCATTTGATTAAGCGTCAAAGTACCGGTTTTATCGGTACAAATAACAGTTGCAGAGCCCATTGTCTCACAAGCAGAGAGCTTTCTCACCATAGCATTATCTTTCATCATCCTCTTCATTGAATACGCCAATGTCAATGTCACAGCTAATGGCAATCCTTCAGGTATCGCAACTACGATGATTGTAACCGCAGCTGCAACCATCTTAACCACCGCATTCACGATTTCATCGCTCTTTGTCCTCTTTCCGTTATACTCGCGGTTTCCGTTCTCGTCTTTCGTTGTTCCCGTGAAGTAACGAATTAACAGAACCAAAAGAACCAAGAAAGCTACAAGTAAACCAACTTTACCTATGGAAGAAGTAAGCTTGTCGAGACGAGACTGCAATGGAGTTTGCTCGTTCGTGTCACGCGAGATATGACTCATCATTTGTCCCCAAGCTGTGTTCATTCCAACGGAAGTAACCGCCATTTTACCGAACCCATCAGCGATCTTAGTCCCCGAAAACAAGAATGTGTTTCCGGATAAGCTAACCTCGACATGATCGCTTTCTCCAGTCATGCTTGATTCATCAACGTGCAACAAATGTCCTTCAACGAACACTCCATCCGCTGGAACTTGATCTCCGATGTTCAAACAAACGATATCTCCAACGACAATGTCAAAGATCGAAATCTCTTGCCGACGTCCGTTTCTAACAACATCGATCTTGATGTTACTACTTACTTTAGAGAGTTTATCAAACTGTCTGTTCTGTCTAAAGTTACTGACCGCAGAGACAGCTACCACCAAGAACACCGCTACGAATATACTTCCTCCATCGTACCATCCTTCTTTCAATCCATGCTCTTTGATACCAAACCCGAGAGAGAGCGTTGCGCAACCGAGAAGGATAAGAATCGTTAAGTCCTTGAAAGCTTCCACGACAAAATAGAAGAGACTCTTCGATGGTTGTCTCGTGTAAGTATTAGACCCGAACGTTGAACGCCTACGTTGAATCTCATCGCCATCTTCATTGATCCCGAGACGCGTGTTTGTCTTAAGAGCCGTGACTAAACCATTAGGACCACCAAGAGACTCAAGTTTCTCTTGGTTCTTGTTCTTGACGAGATCGTTTAAGGTTTCAGTATCAATCTTGAAGTGATCATCTCCATGATGATCATCTTGATGGTGATCAAGATCAATGGCAGTGTATGAAAGAGAACGAGGGAACAAACCGGGTTTTCGGATAGCGTGTTTAGCGCAATTGAGGAGAGTTCTTGAACAGTAGATCTTGATGAATGCTAATTGCCATTTCTTGTTTGATTTGCTTAGGGTTTTGGGAAGTTCGAGAAGAACCTCAACGCCTACCTTGTTCTTCTTCTCTGCATGATCAGAAACGTTTCTTCGCATTGTTTCTGGTATTGCTAAACCGGTATTGATAAACCGAAAATCGAAGGAAAACCAGAAATTGTAAATTTGTTTTGTGAAAGCGATGTGTAGAATGCAAAATAAGAGTTGATGTTATGATGTCAAATACAATCTGCATTTTATAGTTAGTTCATTAGTCGGTCATTTTTGTATCATCCACGAAGTTTCCTAGTAATACACAACGAAAGTCACTTTCACCAAAATATCTTAAAAACTCATTTAATAATAAATCAATATTGATACTATCAAAAAAAAAAATCAATGAATGAATAAAAAGTATTACAAATGTTATTTAATTAACCAAAAAAATTAATCAAAATGAACGAATAAATCAATAAGCATTAAAAATATTATTGAATTAACCAAAAAACTTAAGAGTGAAACTTCTGAGAAGCAACAATTCGAAACAGTTTCGAGTTTTTATAGGGAACACGTGTGAGACTGGGTTTAAAAGATAAAGTTAAAAGTCTTTGACCTGATCTGGACAAATATGGTCAACGTGATAATATTTTAAGGAAAAATAGATGACTTGGATATTTTATTACTATAGGATATGTATGAAGTGTGTATGGTGCGTGTTTTTTTTTTTTTTTTTTGAATAACCGTGGGTCTCCCAAAGGCTTCCTAGGTCCAATGACTAATCCCACGAGGCTGGCAATTCCCTTATGTAAACCTACCAGTGGCCGTGCCTCGAACCCTAGTGGCGGACCCGGTTAAATGGTGCGTGTTTTATTTAGGTTTAATATCTAACTTCTAACATTTCGTTATATCAATATGAAAGAAATAAGAGAAAGTTGGCCAAGTAGTGGTATATCGACATGCCTACTTTTATACATGTAAGTATAGTATATTCTTTCTTTGATTAATGATTAAGGAATCGAATTGATGATATTTAATTATTTTTATTAATTCTCCAAGATAGTTATTACTAACATTTAAAGAGTTTGATACGTGTGAAATTCGAATTCATCTCAAAATTAGTCACGGCTGATCCTAATATGAGATAATTTAATAATAAGATGTCACATTTATTATTAAACAACTAACTAATTAACTCTTACGTCAAATGGAAATATTGTGGCTTGTTCATGTGTTTTAATTTGTGGTTCGAGTATAAAATTTGTCCTCATGAAACTAGATATCAATCATATTACCTAGAGCCTACGTTATAAATCTTTTTTATCAAAACGTTACGTTATTACCTACTAACAAATTACTTTGAATTGTTGTAAAGTGGGCAGTAACTTCTTGACGAAGTCAGGGCTATCCACCTCGAATTATCCGAATCTATTCGTCAGGTGTAGAGAAATTTCATATGTTATGCAAAGAATTTAAAGGTGTTGGAACCAAAATTTCCATGGGGACTTAATGTAGCAAGTCTCAACCACTATTAATGGATTCCTCGTTGGATCCACTCGTCACATTTTCGTATACGTTATATATTTCTCGTCAAGAGAAACAAAGAATGGCTTAGTTATGACATCAAGGAAGAAGACGTAAGCAACAAAGGGTCGTTAGAAAGTGGAAAGATATGGGAATAAATTGGTATATTATGGCGAAATAGGGTTATGGTTAGTTTACAATTGAGAATTGACCCATTTGTAACTAATTTGTGGATTACTTATAGCTGAACACATGTTATTTTGTTTTGTTTTCTAATCAGCTGGTTTTTGCTAAACTTTTTTATTTATTTATCAAACTATATTTGCTACACTTTAAAACCTATAAGGCATAAGCCCAATACAAATAAACAAATTATGAAGATTCAAGAATGATGAGGAGTGAAATTTAACTACGTAGTATAAATCAAAGGCAAAATCTATCAT